CACACATACATACATACATACACACATATACTAGACTCTAGGATCCTTAAGGAAAACAAAGTTGTTTTCTTTATCTTTGATTATCTGTTCCAGCGTAATGCCTCAGACATCTTAGGCATTCAGAACATAGTTGGTAAATGAGTGAATGAATGATATAATAAATTAATAAGGGCCATGGTATAATTTAAAGTAAACAACAATAACAAAAACAACAACAAAATAGAGGCTATAGGATTATCTTAGGCTACCCACCCCACATTCCATAGAAAGAACCCCCTTACTTCTAGTTCTTCTTGTTTATTGGCAATTAACTCACAAAAACGAGTTAATCCCAGGAGCAACTCCTCTGGAAGTTACTCCTAGTGGAAGTGTCTGAGAAAGTAGAATTAAAGATAGGTTGTGTCTGAGAACTGTGAATCCAGGCCTGCCAGGGTTTAGAAATGGTTATCTAGAGAGATTATTGCGAACTTTCTTGGATTTAACCAAAGGCCATAAAGTCTTTAAACAAAATTAGCCCAACTCTATTTTAGTGGAGGTCTGGCAAAGCCCCTAGGGCCTTTTCCCTAGACTAGCACAGACATACAGACTTGAAACCATTCTTCCCACTAACAGTCTTGCTCCACAATAATACAATCTCCAAAGAGAAGCAAGAATGAACTTTTTGAACACGAAATTCAATCTTGTCACTTGACTCCTTAAAACCCCGCAATGGCCAACTATTGCACTTAAAATGCAAATACTAGCCTATATTTTTGGTCTCATTTTCAACCACTCTCCACCACTTTCCATTATTTTCAGGTGACACCAATGTTCTGTATGTTTCTAGAAAATTCCAGTTTCACTCCTGTTCATGTATGTTGTTCTGACTAAAAGCTTCTTCCCCTCCTCATCTCATTTCCTTATTCACATGGCCTGCTTTTTTTTATCCTTTCTTCTGCACACATTCTGGCGTTCCTTCCTAGCCTTCTTTGGGAAGCAGTTTGTTATTCAGATATCTCAGCACTGAGTCCACTTGGCCTTAGTCCAGTCTAATCTCTAACAATCCTGAACTTTTTTTATATGTGGACTCCTTTAAAATTCTGAAGAAAGCCATGGATTCTTTCCACAGTACAAAATTATGCAAGTTTACAATTTCATAGGATTCAAAAATTCCCTGGAGTTGTTTTAGGAACCCATTTCCCCATATTCTAGAGACCTCAAGCTAAGAAATGAGCTTCAACCGAATTCTCTGACCAAGGCTCCATGTACCCCATTGTTTCTGAGCCCTGCTTTGACGATCTTGACTCTCGATCTTCTCTTGCTGGGGTCCTGCCTTGATCTTACTCTCATTTTCTTTTCTAAATACCAGGCAGGGGCTCAGCTAACTGCTACTCCCTTTTATTTCCAGTATGTCCTCTGTAAAGCTTGCTTATTGCTGGATGGTGTCCCTACCCTCAGCTACAATGCTTGCGCCATCAAGGAAATATGTCTTCTGTCTAGGTCCTACTCTCCTGATTTCTACATTCCACCCCAAAAACATCTTCACACACTTTAAAGTAGAAAAAAAATCCTCTGATATTGAGTATTTACTAAATTTGAAAAAATCTATTTGTTCAGCTTCTTACAACTATAAATGAATGAAAACAAGTTGTAGAGTCACTTCACACATTAAGAGGTTTCCTCAAACTCTTTTCAGCAGAACTAGGTCTACAGATTTAAAGTGCTTCTTAAATTGATAAAATAAAAGTGCATCATCAGAACAATGACTCAGCTTCTGAATCAAGCTGAGTTTTTCAAAAACAAAGTGTTCTGCAGTCTATCTTACAGATTTGTACATTATGCTGCACTAAGCATGTACACAGTACTATTCCATTCAATTAAAATAGTCATAAGAAGGACTCATTTCTCATTATAGAGCACTTAGAATTAGAACAGTATTATTTAAACATTTTAGATGAGAAATCTTTGGTAGAGAAAAATCTTACACAAAAGAGTGATAGGGAAGACACAGAAGTAGAGTTTCTGTTGCTCAAACTAGGATAGGGGTCACAACCCTTCCCCCTGATGCCCTCCACTCTCAGGGGTCTTCTTGAAACCACCAATGCTCCATGTAGCAGAGTTTGAAGCACTTTGACATAAAAATGTCTCTCTCTAAGCTGCATATGACAATGCAGGAGAAAAATACCTCAACAAATAGTGCAGATAATGCTTCCCATCTTCCACTAAATCAAAAGAAGATGGCCCATGACCCCATCACTCATTTTGCTAGAGGTCCATGGAGATGACAATTTTTCCAGGAATTCAAGAAGGGAAATAAGTACATTGCTGTTGTGCTGAATAACATAACTCCTGCCATGTATGGCTGGCTTCAGCTTGTCCCCATGTATTAGTGGGAATCCTCCTTGTTCTTTTTCCATCCTGTCATCATTACTTAATATATAATTTGAAAAATAGACTCTATTGCTTCCTGTCCCTTTAGGACAGAAAATCAAGTCTCTAGAGCTTAGAAAAATATACTGTTTCCTAATGTCAAACTTTAAAATAACTTGAGCATGTGGTAACTCAGAATCTTCCATCTTCAGGCTATAAACTGCCTGAATACAGAACTGAATAATAACTAATGAACTTATTAATGAGAAACCTGAAAAGACAATTGTTTCTCTCTATATGTGGGCTATTTCTGCCACATAAGTTTTGCCAAGAATACTTTTCATCCCCCACCCAACTAGCCTGCTTGAGATGACAAATTCTAACTCATTCTCAAGATCCAAATTAAATATCACTTCTGTGAAGTCTTCCTTAATTCAAATCTCACAGAGATAAGGTCAATCTACATTCATCAGTGCAATTACTTATGTGTCTATTCTCCCTATCAGACCATAAATTCCTTCAGGCAGGATTCATGCTTTATTCATTTATGCCCCAAAGCCTACTTCAGGGCCTAGCACATAATGGATTGTCAAAAATATTTATTAGGCTGATAATACTGACTATTGATATAAATGAGGTACCTCACAGAATTGTTTTGTGGGCGGCATACTTAGAAAATATGATGATCCAAGGGGTACCTGACCCTACAGCCAAGGACAGAAAGGACACACACTAACTTTAGCCTCCCTACCACCATCCCGTTTATTAACAAACTACAACTTTGAAAGAAAAATGGGCCCTGCAATTCTAAGACTATAACTTCATCACATCTAGATTTTACCTTTGATATTTTATTCAACCAAGACCTATTGAATGTCTACGAAGTTGAATGTAGAAGATTTTTTTAAAATTTTTTTTTCAAGGAAACACATTTTTAAGAATTAAATTATGACTGGGGTGCCTGGGTGGTTCAGTCAGTTAAGTATTGGCCTTCAGTTCAGGTCATGATCCTGGAGTCCCTAGATCAAGCCCCAAGTCTGGCATCGAGGGTCCAAGCTCAGCTGAGTCTGCTTCCCCTCTGCCCTGTCCCCACTCTCTTGTGCATGCTCTCTCTCTCTAATAAATAAATAAAATCTTTTAAAAAAAAAAGAATTAAATTATAACTTACCTATAATAAAGCTGTATTCAGCTATTTTACTAAGGAAACCTTAGATCCAATCCCAGCACCTAAATTTAAAATTTGTTCCATAAATCAATAGTAAAATCTTTTAAAATTTCACTGAAAGGGAAAGAAGTAGAAAGGAAATACTGTTGGTAAATTTAGACTCTGGAATTAGAAGCCTATATTTGTAATCCAGCATCCTTACTTACTAGCCCAGTAATCTTAGGCATATTATTTAATCGTTTTGTGCCTTTTTTTCTTCATATGTAATGGGGACTAATACTAGTACTTACCACATGGGGTTGCTGTGAGGTGATGAAAAATGCTTACAGTGTATGAAAGATGCTCAATATATGTTAGGAAGTTACTATAGAAAGTTTCTTCTATCAACTGCTTACCTCACACCTTGCAAAAACAAAACAACACAGTTTTTCACTCAATCAGCATACACGAATGAATAATGATACTCACTAATGAATGTTCTCTGTCCCAGACACACAGTGGTAACATAGGAATGGGGCAGCCTATGCTTCCAGGAAGCTTTATATTCTAATGGAGGACCCTAGTAAATAAAGGTGAATAAATGCTTTCTGTAGTATCAGTGAGGAAAAAAATTAATGTGCAAAAGGATAGATTGAAGAGGTATATGGTTCCTTCAGATACAATGGCCAGTGAAACTTCTCTGAGAGATATTTAAGGTGAGACCTGAACCTCAAGAAGGGGAACTATGCAAGGATCTAGGAGGAGAGTATTATAAAAGGGAAAGTCCTAAAGCTAGAAGCTTTTTGAGTTCAAATAGCAGCAAGCAGGCCAGTGTGTGCAGAGCAGGGTGAGTTCAAGAAAAAGCAGCAGGTTACGAGGCTCTAGAGATAAGTAGGAGCCTAATCACAAAGCCCTTGATGGCCACTGGGAAACACTGGCTTTGGTTTTCTAACTGTAATGCAAGGCCAGTGGGGGAAGGAATTTGCACTGTGGAGGCATGTGACTGATCTTCATTTTTAAAAGATAATTCTAGCTGTTTTGTGAAGTAGAGATGTTGGGTGAGAGGAGTGAACTGGGTAAGGTGGGAGTGGTGGAGGCAAGTAAGAGAGGCAATGTTCAGGGTATATTTTAAGATAAATCTAACAGCACTTACTACAGAATGGATATGAGCCTTTGAGTAAAGGGAAGATTCAAAGGTGACTCCCAGTGTCCTTGGCCCAAGCAGTTAGGTGAACAGTGCTGCCATTTACAAAATGGGGAAGACCAAAGAAGCCAGTTTGCAAAGAAAAATCCACAGTTCTATTCTGGCCATGTCAGTGTCCTAATCTGGATTAAGGAGTGATTTTTAAGGTGAAATTGTGTTTTTCAGGTCAGATAGGATCACTTAGAGAGAGTGTAGATATTAAGAGGTCACAAGATTGTGCCTTGAACACATCGACATTTCAGAAGCTAGGAAAAGAAGGAATTCCAAACAACAGTATGAAGTAGCAGCAAGACAAAAAGGAAATCATGAGGGTGTGGTATCCCCAAACATGTGAACAACAATTTCAAGGACGATGGAGTAGTCAACCACATCTGATGAGGCTGAGAGGCAATGATGAGCTCTGAGAAATATGGAGGTCCCTATTGACAAGAACATTATGATCAAATGGTGAGAACAAGAGCTTAACTTCATGGGTCAAAGAGGACACAGGAAATGAAAGTGATGTATAGAAATCTCTTTTGAGGAATTTCACTATGGATGGAGAAAAATTATTGTGAGGGGAATCACTAAAGAGGATATGGGTTCAGAGAAATCTATTTTTCAATGGGAAATATAATAGCGGGCTGTCCCTTCTCTAAGAGGAACTTTTTGGATTGAGCAAAGAATGGGAATTCTCTCTCCTTTACAAAGAAATCTTCCGCCATATATGTGGTGGGTATTCCAAAGATCATTCATTCCAAGAAATTAGATGCTTAACCTGAATTTGAACTTTGTACAGTTGGGGTCCCATAAGGAAAATGCAAAACACTTTTCTTCTTCTGAGGTAGCATTTACGCTGACTGGTGTTGTAGAATCAAGTAGAATAATTTCTCTAAATCTAATCTTAAAAACTGAAGCATTTCTATTTCTACCTTCGAGAACAGGAAATACCACAAAATGAAAAATTGGCCATTTCGTATGATTGTAGTCTATCATTCTTGTTTATAGAAAGAGAAAATAAAATTTCATCTATTCAAAGAAGCGTCAGTAAGTCAGATACTTTAATTCATGAAAAGATAAAGAATATTTTTTTAGAAATATGGAAAATTAAATTGAGAGTGTTTTTGACCAGCTTTATGTCAAAATCGTCTTTTATGTAACAGTGCTGTGAACTGTTTCACTAATACCAACTAAATGTGTTTTTAATGATGTTATAATAAACCTAAAATCTGGAGAGGAGAGTGATGCTGTCAAAGTATAATTGTTGCAAACTCGGAAAATAAACCATTTACCCCCAGGGCAAGGTTTATTCGCAGATAAATGGCTTGTTTTCACCTTGGCATTTATCTGATAGCAGGAGGAGACATATCCTTGGTAAAAGTTCTATTATCATTATCTCTTATTTTAATCACAAGCATCTGGTTGAGATTTAGTTCCTCCTCCATTTCAAGAATCAATAAAGGGGAATCTGTGAGACAGGCTTGAGCTCCCATCAGAATCATCTGGCCCTGGATGCCAGACAAGCCAAGAGAAGGCACCTGCCACATTTGTAATACTGCTTTTGAAAGTCTGCTGAGAACTCCAGAGAACACTCTGCCCCAAGGGGAATTCGGTGTGAAATTTCACTTCATAGTTGTCAAGAAGATCAGTCCTGGAAATGAAAAAGCGTCCATGATGAAGACAGAGAACAAAATTAGAATGAAGCTCCAGGTTCCTCATGTCCAGCATTGGCTCTTTGAGAATAGACTAATATTGACACTCGAGTCATAAGTGAGGGGATGGCCTTGAGGAGGTCTAGGAAGAGTGCCTGCACTTCAGGGTGGTGCTCTTTGAAACTGAAGGTACCACCTGTAAGGTTCCCATACAGTTAGGGTGATCCTGAGATAGCATCAGCCCTTAGTACTTATTCCTTTTCTGTCCCCCTCCTCACACCTACCCCAACATTCACAACTCTGTCCTACAAACCTTCTCTTTTATACTCGGTTCCTTCCCTGAGGGTTTTTCTGAGAAGTCCATACCATACCAGACCCACTGCACTTTTGAAATCACAGCCCCTGGCTTGCTGAGATGCAGAGGCCATTTTTAAAACCAATCATCCTTTCTTCTCTCCACTCCCTCTTACCATGGCCTAGCAACACTTGTTTGCCTCTGACCCAGCCCTGAGCCCTCCTTAGGCAACCATGTTGCCTGGCTTGAAAATATAAACTGGACCAATCCAATGTCTCTCTCTGGATTTAGAATTGAAAAATCAATTCAAGGGACTGAAATAGTGATGTGAGGAGAGCAGAGAGAGAGAAGCATGAGGCAGAGGCCTGAAGAAACCATAACAAGTTGAACCCTTGGGCATAGGCATAAAGTATGAGTGAGCGTAAGAAGCCAGTCAGTAGGGAACATAGAGCTAATTTGCCCCCCAAAAGCAGGAACCCATGAAAGATCAAGACCATCCAAAGAAAGAATTGTCTCAGGTCCAGGAACCCTAAAATCCTGTGAGGCCAACTTTTCTACAGCTCCTGTTCTTGGATTTCCATACAATTTCACTTCTCACTAAAATAAACCCACTTTACTTTCAGTATCTTGATTGGGTTTCTGTACTTGAAGAAAAAGATACCTAACTAGAAGTCAGTTAGCAATGTAGACGTCTGCCTAAAGTTGGATAATTTTTGAAGAGTTTTCAATGAATTGAGGAGGAGAAATTATCTTCCTTCACTGTTCTCTGGAGTCTGGGCTTACAGCAAAGAGATGTAAATCCAGTAAAACATTTTAACAACATATCACATTCTGTGACAATATAAATCCCAGAAAACCAGCCTGAGAGGGGCCCAGAGATCTAGGACTCTACGCCACAGATCTCTAACTTCTGTGGTAAAATTCTGTCCTCAATCTCACAAAGAATCCCTTTATATAAAAAAATACCCAAGCAGAAATGCTTTTGTTGAACAACTCAGTCCTCCTTCAGGCTCCTCCCTGAAATCAAGAAACCCTATGGGTCCCTAGAACTTGGTTTGAAAGCATTTAATCTCTCATTTGATATGTGAACTACAAAGGATTAAAGCACTGCTATATGAGCACATCACCATGAGACTTTATCTCTGAGACCATCTGTAATCTCTGGCTCTCCTATACTAATATCCAATATTCCTAATAGAAGAATCTATTTTATATTTTTTCTCTGTGTATTCTTGTGAAAATTTCCATTAAAGTTTTCAAAATATCCTAATATTGGAACATTCGAGACAAATATTTCATATCACAGTATTTTTAACAGAGTGCATTGAAAGTCCTTGCCAAAGCAGATTGGATTTGGGCATCAGCCCAAACACTGATTTTTAAAGAGATATGGAATGTATTTCAAGAAGTCCTAAGGTGAAAACCTGAAGCTGAATAATGATGAAGTCTGTTTGTGTAACGGAAGTGTGTCTTTCAGACTAAAAGAGAGGAATGGTTTATATATGAAATTGAGTGATCTAAGTATAGGAGTGTCTCTTAAATTTGACTTATTCAAATCGCAAAAGGTTGGTTTCTGCCACATATTTCAAACCACATTAACTGCAAAATGCCTATATTCTGAAAGCAAGCTGTGGTAGATCAGTAATGAAGGTAATATTAGAGGCTGTGACAGACATGCCAGGTGCCTTCACTATCGACTCTCCCCGTCTTCCCCAGTGACACAACCCCACTTTTATTCTGAGCAGTGATGTGCCCACTTAAGCAACTACATTTTCAAATTCCCTTGCATCTAGATGTGACTAAGTTTCAGCCAATAATATGTAAGCAGAAATGTTGTGTGAGATATCCAGGAACACTGGTTAAAGGAAGTTACCTCAGTTAGGAGGTGTCTACTTTGCTCTCCCCACCGTCCCCCTCCTTGACACCTCGAAGTCAGATTCTGACAGCTGGAGATCTATCCCCATCTTGAATGACAAGGTCACCTTGAGGATAGAAAGAACAAAGTAAGACATAGTTGCTGCACCAACTCCACACTGCCTACTCCCAGACTCCACACACGAGAGAATCTTCTATGTTAGTCCACTGTTATTTGGTGTTTCCTGTAATATAAAATTAAACCAAATCCTGATTGGTTCAATGGCCTAACTTACACGCTATTCTTCCCGGGCTGTGGTGTGGTGTAGGTCAGAGGAGAAAGTAAATGTGGGGTATTACTTTTGAAAAATCGAACGTGCATCTCTTCATCTCCTGCCTGCACTTGCAGCTTTCATTTTTTTTTTTTAAGGGCAGAAGCTGTTTACAAATTCTACCGTCGCTTGAATAAACAACAAAGTGTTATACTATCAAAATACAATTACCTAAAAAATGTGAAATGGTATCAAAATTTACCCTAAAACATCTCTTTCATACTTAACTTATGTTGAATATATAAGGTTTAATTGTAAAATAGAGATGAAGTACATTTCCCCTCTTGGAAATTTTCCTAAGCATTTGTATCTAGAAAAATGTATATTTGTTTTCTGGATAGAAAGCAATACACATAGTGCATCTTTCTGGCAGAAATAAGAGCATAGAGATGCTTAGAACTGTTTCCATAACTGTTATTGCTATTACATGTAGTTGAAAAAAAGAAACACAAGCTAACCCCATCAATCAATTAATTCTTTTCATTTTAAACATAACTGTCACCTCATGGAGAACATTAAAAATATCCTCTCCTTTTCCTTAACTATGGAAGACATTTGCATTAAAAAGGGAGGATTTTATTTCCTTAGAGTTCATCTATGCCTGCTGGTTATTCCCCAGCTAAAGTCATAATCCTGTTTGCAACATCATAATCATTTACTCAGCAAACAATCAGGGTGTCACTAACAAAGAATTATGACTTTAGGTGGGGGATAAACTACAGGCACAGAGGAACTCTGAGGAAATAAAGATTATTTTCATGAAAATGTGGCTAGTAATAAATAACCAGCGATGAAAATTATGATGAAACAAAATATCCCATAAAAACAGATTTGGGGAGGTATAAATAGTATGTTTTTAAAATTTCTCCTCTCTGAAATTATGACGCATAGAGTGTTTATAAAAGCACCGGTGCAATCTTAATATTTAAAAATTCTGAGTTTACACATGATAGGAGAAAGCTAAACATAGAAAACAATGTTTCAAAAATAATTTTGATAAAACAAATCTAGATATTTAGCTTTCAACATAAACAACTTTATACATCATTCAGTTTAACTGTCCAACTCACTGAAAGCATTCTCCACTTTAGATACTGAGTGACTTTTGTGTATCATTTATTAACTCGATCCTGAATTCACTAATTGATCCATCCATTAATTTGTCTGTATATTCAATGACTGTAGCATAAGCTCATGAAAAGTGATGATAATAAGCATGGCAGAGAGCTTTTCAATTCCAAAAGGGTTTCCACATTCACTATTGCATTGGATTCCCACAACATTCCTCCAGGCCAAGTAAATTCGGTGTCTTTTTTTTCCATTTCATGATGAAGAAACACATTCAAATAAGTTATATGCCAGCTAGTAAATAGTATAACCTGATAACCTGTGTTTCTCTCATTTTATACATCTTACTGTCTCTCCTTGGGAAAAATTAGGGACTGAGATGGCTTATCATTGGATCCTTCACACTTCATTCATTCATTCATTCATTCATTCATTCATTCATTCCTGATGACCAGCAGGCATATGCTAGGGGCTAAGTGCATAGTGGTGAACAAAATGGACATAATTCATGTTCAGTTGAAATGTATAGTCTAGTTGACATACATTCAAAAATCACCCCAATAAATTAATATGCTATGAGGAACCACGAAGGGAAAAGTAGGATGCCATGAGAAAGCATAAAGAATAAAGAAAAAGGAACATAGGGAATTAATTAAGACAGGAATGAGAGAAGGTACATTTTGAGACCTTAGAGATGAGAAATATCATGTAGCCAAAACCAAGATGAGGTAAGCATTGCTCAAGATCTTTCCAACCACTGAAGCATAGGGACATAGAGAACTGTTTTTCTCTGAATCAAGGCATTATTTAAAATATCTGAGTGCCCTATTACAGAGATGGAGCCATTTCTTTTAAAGAATTTATTTATTTATTTGTCAGAGAGAGAGAGAGAGCCAGCACAAGCAGGGGGAGCAGCAGGCAGAGGGAGAAGCAGGCTCCCCACTGAGCAGGGAGCACGATGCGGGGCTCAAACCCAGGACCCTGGGATCATGACCCAGCCGAAGGCAGATGCTTAACTGACTGAGCCACCGAGGTGTCCCAAGATGGAGCCATTTGATAATATTCCTTTGTTCAAGAAAGGTTTTCTGTGCACTTCACATATAAGGCACAGCATTAAGTGGCCTGTGTTGTGTGAGACACTCAGAGTGCATTGGATGTGAAGGACTTCAGTAAATATTAAACAACATATTCAAGCTATCAGATATAATTTAATGTCAATTTGTTTCTATTATGTGTATGTCCAGAACTGTAAAATTATAGAATTTCATATAACTATTACACCACTAAGCAGTCTGAGTATAAACTACTAAATCCCAACATGCATGTAAAACCATGTGATCATTTGGTCCAGTGGTTGCTAGAGGCACACTGTGGTAACTCTAGCACTGGGAACATGGTTGCGATTCTTCTGGAATGTCTGTAACTCTCTCAGTTCCACAGTCAGAACTAGGTGTATGCCTTTAACAGTGATTTTTAAGCTTGAGCTTCAAAATGAGAAAACACGTTGAAACTGCTTCAGGCAAAGGCTCTAATCTTATTTAGTTTTTATTTCCTCATTAGACTAATGGCAAAGGAATTAAGGAACTTTTCTAAATGTGTGGTTATGGGAAGAAAATAAAGGCAGAAGGGGGTCTGCTCTGCCACAGAGGACCCTCATGTTTAATTTCAATGTCATATTGGATGTCAAATGGCAAAGTCAACGGTATATGCCTATCTCAGGTCCTGGCCAGAAATGCACTAATGACAACTAATTCTCAGATTTATTTTTATTTTAAATTTTTTATATTGTAAAATGTAACAGCATCTTTTAAAATCCCTTTCTGAGCTAGTTCAAAAAAAAACTCAAGCTATTCCTGGATACACAGAAGGAATAGTAGTGGTCCTTCTTCCTTAATGGGAATAGGACACCTCCTTCCACTTTGAGAAAAACACTGGAGTTGTATAAAGTGCCACTAGGGAGCAATTTTCTTCTTCATCAGAAGGAAAAAGGAAGACGTTGTCTTACAGCAAAGGAGAGCAGAGAGAGTCAAAAAACTTTAAATCTGAGCAGACATGCTAAAAACAAAAATCATGTATTTTCTTCCTATTTTAACCGATGAAGAGGCAATCCCCATTTTAACTACAAATACTAAAATTCAGAAAGCTATCAGCCTCAGGACAAGATGCCAGAAGGGCCTTTGCCATAAATGATGAGGATTCAAGGGTGACTCACTGTTATCTCTCTGGGATGGTGACAGAGAAAGTGCTAAGAGGACAGTGAAAACTTCAGAGGAGCCACACTCTTTAAGATATTTGTTTCTTTTGAGAAATTTTATTTTGATTATATGATTGGATTTCCTTATTGCTTATTGTTCATTTATGTCACTTTTAATGAAGGGCATATTTAGACCCAATTAAAGGGCATTTTTAGACCTACAGACCTATCTATTTTTAGACCATAGAAATAGGTGTCTTCATCATTTTTTATCCTGCCAGTGTGACTACCAGTACAATGTACTGATCCCATGGAAAAAATACCAAAGATAAATTACACTGAACAGTCATCAATCTCATACAAGGGGTTATTACCAGAATCACAAGGAAGAAAAAAAGAGTCTGATCCTTGAGCTGTGGCTATGCTCTGATGATGGCATAGCCAACCTGCAGGTATGTTTTCCTGAGGTCAATAAACTCCTTAAGGGGAAACTGTCCTAAAACGTCACAAAGTGACAACCATAAAGCTATCCCTGGGCATGTCTTTTTCTGCTCTTTTGTTAAACTCTTGAATTATAAGATCATGTAAAGCACTGAACACCCTCCAACCCCAAATCTCCTACTACTCAAGACCAGCAGAACACCTCTATATGTGTTCGTTTCTTTCACTGTCACGACCATCCAGCAACTGTATTTGTATTAGTCAGGGTTCTCCAGGGAAACAGAACCATTGTGACAGCTAGCAAATCCAAAATCTACAGGGCAGGCCAGAAGGCAGGAGACCCAGGAAAGAGGAGATGTTGCAGTTTGAGCCCAAAGGCAATCTGAAGGCAGCAGTCCCTCCTCTTTGGAGGACCTGGGTCTTTTTTCTCTTAAGACTTTCAAACTGATTAGTTGAGACCCACACATACCATATAGGGTGATCAGCTTTTACTCAAAGTCTATTGATTTAAATATTAATCTCATCTAAAAAATACCTTCATAGAAACATCTAGAATACAGTTTCACCAAATATCTGGGTACCGTAGCCTAGCCAAGTTGACATAAAATTAACCATCACACTGACCCTCCCAAAGTAAGATGCTTGGGGGGGGGCGGTTCCTGTGTTTTCTAGTATATGTCTTTGTGTCATACTAGAATGACGAGTGTTATGTCTGCTTTATTTTGGGTCCTCTTTTTCTCTTCTGGCAGCAATGTTTGAAGTTACCAGAACTTTTCCAAATGTCAAAAACCCTAATAGAATCAAAACAAAACAAAACAAAATAGTAGTTACCAAAGTAAAATGTGGATTCTAGGCTCAATGAACGCTACTGCCAAGTATGAGTTGGCCATTGAATGTATACTCTTAGGACGACATCATTATTTAAATATAATTCAACAGTTAAATATTACTTTAAATACAATCATGTTCTAACCTATATAGTAGGTTCTAGAGACACAATTTTAAATGTTATTTTCACAAATTCACAAAATTTTCCTAATATGATCTGCAATATAGATTAGTGTTTGACATACAATAAATCATTTGGAAGAAAAAGCCCTTAAACTTATAATTTCACTAACTTTTATTAGGCTGCAAACCTTGAAATATCAGAAACATTAATAATCAGAATCTCCAGCACCTGGACAGGTAATCACTTGGTCACTTTTTTCAGCTGTTTGCTTTACTTTGGGTACAAAATGGAAAAAGTAATGAACAAATGATCATTATCATGAGGAACTCTATGACCACGGTAGCATGATGACATGTTGCTTCTCAAGAAAATCCTCTTCCTCCTCATCTGTGCTGCTTTCAGAAAGTGTCAGCAAAGACTGAGTTTCAGTATCTCTTTCAGAAGAGCTGGAAATACATTAAAAGATCAATACACAATATACAGAACCAGGTTTCAACTCTTCATTTATCTTCTGATCAATACTACATGCATTGAAGTCATTGGAGGCAGGCAGATGTGAGGAGGCTGTCTCAGACTGGGGCCATAATTTTCAATGTGCCCAATATACCAAGCCTCCTTTTAATGAGAAATTCTCATCATTCTCCCTCTCCCAAGAAATAAAGCCACAGTGGAACCAAGGGGAGAAGATTTTATGGTCTCTGGTTGTGTCTTTCATTGATGATTCAGAAGGCACTTCAGAAACTTGCAGAGCCTCAGGGTCATCATTAGGAACATTCATCATTACATTGGCTGTTTAATAGAATCCCAATGAATAGACTGCCAAATAAATCACCTCTTTTGTGTACAGTAAATTAGGACTACGTGGATAGCCAGTCAAGATATGCCAAAACCAAAATTAATGGCAGCAATTATTTAGTTATTTTATTTTGTTACATTTTATTGTGGAAAGGAACTGGTAGAAACTCTAGCAATAGGTGTCAGCTTTAGGGAAGGAGGTAGTGTGGGGGAACAGTTTGTAAAATTCAGATTTTTTTTGTCCAAGTTATCTAGAATTTCAGCCCATGTATGGCACTAAATAATATAAAATACTTCATCCTGTGATGGATATTTTTTTGGATCCTTTTTTATGCCCAACAGAGGCTAAACCAGCAGTTACTAAACTCTGATCTGTGGACCAGGGCAGATCTGACTGAGATAAAAATTTTCACTGGTCTGAGAAGAGAAAATAAGGGCAAGGTAATGACTTTTTCATGACATTTTTAATTTTAAAGAACTGTGCTTTATTCTGTGTGTTCCCTTATATTTTTAGTATGAAATGTCCTTTCTTTCATGAAATGATGCCGAGGATATGTGGAAGGTTAGTTACTTTGTTTTAAAAGAGCTTTTTAGGGAAAAAAATAGCAACTTTATATTGATCCCTCCTTGTAAAAATGTAAGTGGTGTCAGAAATCAAAAATCCAAGGACCACAGCTAAATGATTTTCTCCTTTAGAAAGACAGAGTAATGGACTCTTGATTCCCTTTCACTGCAATATTAGACTTCAAACCAGTCAAAGGAATTTACAATTCAAGAGACTTATATTTTACATTTATCTTAATCCTTCTAGAAAAATCCCTCCTCCTTTTCCAAGAAATTCCAGCATGTCAATAATAGACCAACGTGATAAACTACTTTCAGAAGCATTTATTAGTATAACCCGTGGTCTTTATAGATTGATCATCCCTAAATGTTTTTCATGGGCAGAAAGAATGAAATGATACAATTTAAAATATGCTATCACTAACAATCTTGACTTAATTTTAAGAAAGAATCTTCTCAATACTCTAAAAACCTTATTCACACTGAGTAAGATTCTATTAGTGCAAAGTACTGAAGTTTATTAAGTTAATTAATGCAAGTAAAGCCACTGTTTCTCAATATAAGAAGAAAGGCTGAAGGATTATAAAATTCCAAATATCTTTTCATTTTGCTGACACACATTGTGCAGCAGAGAATTAGCTCTTCACGTTAAAGTAACCACTTCATACGACTTTTACTAAATCCTGATAATAATAGGTCAACAAAGGACCCAAACATTTTACAAAGAATGGCCATATAAAGTACACACATGAGGACAATCTTTCTTTATATAGTAAAGATAATTATTCAGGACTTGTCAAAAATTTCACTATGCCCTATCTTTACATATGGGCTGCAGGCTTAACTCACCACCATTCCTCAACTGCACAGAGGCCTCTTGCACTGGAGGTCTTACGGAAATCTAGGGTAGTCTGACTTATGTTCAGCGAATGGTTGTTGAAGGCTGGTAACTCTTCTGAGGTTAGGCTGTAAAGCTTTTCTGAAGGATCTGAAACATTTTATTTCATGCGCTGTCAACACATAAATTCAAGACACAAACGCACAGCATATGGTACTGAAAGTTTACCCAGTGTAAACTATAGGTGGTACAGGGAAGGTCAGTACAGATTGTTAATCACCTAGATTTTCTAGTACTTGTGGGGTGGGCAGAATATGAAGTAAGCTTGATCTGACCTTCTAAATTAGGGCATCAGTATCAAGTCACTTCAATCATACTGACTTTGTTTTTAGCAAATTCCCCAATTTTTTTCAGCATTATGGAAATATAACGAACATGTAACATTGTGTGAGTTTAAGGTGTACAATATGTTGATTGGAACACTCATATACTGCAAAATGATTACCACCATAGTGTTAGCTAACACCTCCATCATGCCATATATATTAGCTTTTTTTGTTTGTGGTGAGAACATTTAAGATCTACTTTCTTAGCAACTTTCAAGCATATAATATTATTAACTATAATCACCATGCTGTACATTACATCCCAGAAGTTATTCATCCTCTAATGGGAAGTTTATACTCTTTGGCCAGTATTTCCCCATTTCCCCCACTCCCTTAGTTTATGGTAACCACTATTCTAGTCTCTGTCTCTATGTATTTGGCTTTTCTAGGTTCCACATATAAGAGATATTATACAGTACTTGTCTTTCTCTGTATGACTTATTTCACCTAACCATATTGATTTTTAAATATGTTATACTTAAAGTGTCAACTGTCCTGAAAATTTACAATATTGCAAAGAATATCATGGGATCCTCTTTAAAGCTAGAATATTATGCCGTTCCTCAATTTGCCTGAATATTAAACACTTTATTGTTTATTTTTGTCTTCTAAGAAATAAAAGTTTTACCCCCATACAGTCTGAGGCAAAGGTTAGTTCTGGCAAAGCTACCCTTTGTTTTTCTGCTTCCTTGTTTTGTTTGGGTAGATAATAATTGTATGTGAAAGGGGAGAAGCCTTAAATCTCCTTTTACATGAAGCTGGGGTGATTTAGCTCAGGTAAGGACAAATAGTGCAAGTTAAATAAGCAAATGGACAAGCAAACATATTTTATATAAAATACCAAAAAGTCAAGTACAGAAATAAATGTGATTACTATATTAGAAAGACCATAATGCTTTCTTTTCATCTTTGATAAATTTGTAAGGGCCATCTAGCTTATACCTAAGGTTATACTGGGATGAGTTTTAAAACTGTTAAAAGTACTGGGTCTTATTCTTCCCTTCCCACTCCTCTGAAAGTGTCAAGCAAATAGCCTCCTGAACAGAAGGATCACACACCAAACTACGGGTATAATACACTTCACTGAGAGAATTATTTTAATATTACTATACTTCTTGGTGGATAGCACTTACTTGAAATTTTTGAGAAAGCAGAGATTCCCCTGCTGGAAGAAACTTCAGATTATTCCTGCTGCAAGACAGACCTCAATACATTTACAACTGGAAATGTCCTTAAAATTATTTAGGCCAGTGACTTTCACACTATGATACATGGTGAAGTTCAGAAGCCTTGGGGATAAGGCTCGTGCTCCCACCACCCCAAAGCAACCAAGACAGCTTTCACTGGGTCTCATTTAAATGTGGGGCTCTGTATAAGACTAATTTTGAGAAAAACAAAAGATTCCTCAGCTAGAATTTTTGTCGTATCCCCAGCTGTTTGGAGATTAGGAAATTGTGGGTCCCCAAGGAATTGGTAACTTGGAAGTCACACAACCAGAGTAGAAAAACTGGAACTAGCCCTAAGCTCTTCTAGCTCACCAATATCATCTATCACTATGTTCCAGAAGCTAACTCTTTAGCCGAGGCTTTTATTTTCTCTCCTCTTTTTCCACAAGGAAAAAAAGACAGGTATGCAAGACACCTTTACTTGCCCCAATGATAGGGAGTGTTAGCGGTGAGAAAGCAATCAATTCAGGATTTGGAATTGGTAACACTACAGTACTGAAACCTAATAGTGACTCTTAGGTCTAAAGAACACCGGCAGGAGAGGTATTCAACCTCTGTTAGGCAATTGAGTCCCGACTGAATGAGCACAGAGCTAATTCAGATGGTGCAAACAGAATGGGCCTATTTTTGTATAATTGTACATTCTCAAAATTATTTTTTTGAATACCTGGTGAAGTTAATAGAGAAAACCAAGACATCACTTGGTTTTCAAGGCAGAAGAAAATAAAACTGCTTATGAAAACCCTATTGTGGGTTAGTGTTAAACCTAAAAGATCAATTGTACAAAAACCTAAGTTTTTCTAATATAAGACCAGGGAAGACTGGATTGACATTTATATTGGAAATTCAGCTGTTATAAATTTACTTTATACCCGTCAAGAAAGTGGACTTTTAAGGAATGGATTGAAGTTAAACCTTTCTACCCCTGGAGTAATAGTGTATGTTCTCTGATCATTGAAGAATCTCTTAAATGCAATAATCAAGAATGGCAAAGGGGGGAAATTGACTAAATAGGGACTTTTAAGGTATATTTCTGAAACTCAAGTCACTTAAAACATATACATAAAACTTTATTCTACAGGGAAATGAACATTTAGATGGGTAAAAGAAATGAAGGAAAGAAGAAAGGTAGAACCAAAGAGACGGGTTCAAACTTCAAAGAATGGACACAAAGCAGATAGGCTACTTTCCTATAAGGAACCCAAACCACCACCACCACCACCACCACCACCGTCTAAAGAACTATCTAGCAGAGCTACAAAGGACATCCCTGTGTTTAGGAGGGTGTGACAACCAGAACACTTGCCCTGTAACCTGTGAGCCCCGCCCCCAACACTTCATACTTTTGTTTTCCTCTCCCTCCATCTCGTCCCTTCTGCCATTGTGTCTTGCCTTGTTTCTCTCCATTCCTTCTTCCCTTTACCTTCACTCTGCCCACAACCCTCTGCTTTTTAAGTGGTCACAATACTGATTAGAAGTAAGGATTTCACATTATTTAAGTGGCACTGTGGTAGGGTGCCCACAGTCCTTTGGGGCAGACTTGCATGGGTTTGTGCCTGGGCTTTTCGGAGCTCCCAGGGAAGACCCCGGGCAGTTACTACGTCACCTAGAGCCTCAGTTGCTAAATCCACAAAGGGGAGATCAAAAATCGTATCTGTTCATTTACCTCACAGAGTAGTTAGTTTTAAAGATCAAAAGGAGCAACATTACATATAAAAACAAGTAGTGATTATTATTATTCATTGAATGGCTTCATATTCTTAGAGCAGAATTCTTAAAAATAGGTTGATTTTCACATATATGTGGCACTCATTTTTTTTTTTTTGAAATTGAAAGGTGACCAAAGCAAAAAGATTGCCATTCCAGCCCATCTTAACCTGTCTTTATAAGGGCTACTTACTTATTTTGCTAACTCTATATCCTGATTAGCCCTTTTAGAGTTTAATATCTTACTTGATGGTCAACCTTTGAACAGAGGCCCCAGTTACTCACTGCCTTACTATTTTATTTCACCAACAGTATAGCTACATCTGCTAGTATCAGGTAGATTTTTATTCTTTCTTGTTTAAGAAAAAGTACTTTCCTCTCTTTAATTACTTGGCTCAGTTAACTACCTGTGGACTTGTACAAACATAGGATTGCCACGGGAATTTAAGTCTTAAACCGTAAGTCAGAATGAGTTTGAACAAATGGATCATTTTTAACTAATGAAAATGTGAATGCTTTAATGTGCATTATTATTGATACTTTCTCATAATGCATATCTTCTGATATTTCCCCAATTTCTTCAGGTTATAACAATATTCAAAAGTTGACAAAGTGACTAGTTAAGTAAGTTATATTGCCATATTGAGCCCATTCAGGAAGTGACTGTAGCGTCATTTACAGAGATATTTGTGGAGGAAATAATTATATGGCATGAACTATAGCTAACTATACCCTCAAAGTGGTCCACAAGAAAACATGGCTTTAGAATGGAAACAGCTTTTAGATGTTTTTGACTAAAAATTAGACTTACCAAGAGAACCTTACCTGACTGTATGTGGAAAGTACCACTCACTGGTTCCTTACATAATTTAACAGATTTTTTCAGGACTTACTAAGTGCTAGGCAACTAACTCTTGAGAGAGAGAGAGAGAGAGAGTGTGTGTGTGTGTGTGTGTGTGTGTGTGTGTGGAGAGAGAGAGAGAACAAAATTTTCATAAATATAATATTTAGTATAAAATTTAATTCAATCACTGAATAATTTTATGATTGGGCCGATTATTACGCATCTTTCATATACAGAAACTGATGCAAAATCAGATTAAGAAAGTAATTTGCCTAAAGTCGTGAAGTTAGTAAGGAGTGGTTTCAAATTTCAAAACCAGGCTCCTGGCCCCAGAGCCTGGGCCTGCAACTACCCTCTTTTGCTGCCCCCTATCTCCTGATTCAGCAGAAAGTTGTGTCTGCAAACTGCAACACATCCCCCCTGCCTAACCCGCTAGCCTGCCCTGCCTGCCTGCCTCTGAAAAGGCTCTAATATCAGCCACAGCAATCTGAATGAATGGGGAAAACACTTCACTTAATGTAGTTATTTTCTGTCTTTTCTTCTCCCAGGTCCTCAGCACAGTTGTTTTCCACAGAAGTTAGAGGAAGTGGATATACCCTAGAGCTAACGGAAAATGAGTCAGGTTTGCTGCTCTCAAAAATTTGGCTTTCACAGGGATGTGAACACATTTACATTTGTATAAGAGTCAAATTGTGTAGCTGTGCTTCTGTGGAACCAAACCTCATGCGGAGTTTTTCCAGGCTGCACCATGAGTAGTGAAATGTGGGTGGAATTTTTCTGCCCATTGATGCTAAACGGAATACAGAAGTCTTGTACAGAAACAGTGAGTTTTCTGGAATAGCGGCTGATTACACCACAGCATCTGTCACCTCACTGACTGTTGGGTTGATTCAGCTGATGGGCCACCCTTGTCCTTCCTCAGCTCCAGGTGAATGTCTCTAAAGCTGTGCACTCATCCTGAGCCAATCTTCTCAAATAGAAAGAGCT